TGCCCAATTTCCTTTAGATTTACCTTCAACTATGTAGCGCAAGAGCCTGCCTAACTGGATACAATTGAAAGTGCTGTTTAGTTTTGACTTTATATTATATGGTTTTTGACAAATCTAAAGCAAAATTCTCAAGAAAATTGTATAATGTATGGCCAGCCTTAGGCTGGTAATACACTATACAATTTTTTTTTAAGGCTGGCCATACACTATACAATTTTTTTTAAGGCTCACTTCTGCAGAGAAACCAATCAGCTTCCAGATTTGATTGCCAAAGCTTAATTGAACAAGCTGAGGTTAGAAGCTGATTAGTTTTTCTATGTAGAAGTGAGCCTGATTTTGCACTCTCCAGCTTTAGTAAATAAACCCTATAGACTTTTGTTTTTTAAACTAGAGCTTGGCATCACTACACTACTTGTTTTGAATGTGTTTTTCATGTGCTTCCATTGAAGTCTATGGGGCCAAAACCACAGAACGTTGCACCAAAAAAAACTTTTTTCCCTAGAAGCACAGAAGAGAAATGCACAAGTATGAATAGAAGGCCCATAGAAAATGATAGTAATGGTCTTATCATGCATTGCTGCACGTCAGTCAATGCGTGTAAAATTGAACAGGTGTGAATGGGATCTGACATCTGTAAATTAAATAGGCAATATTTGTTTCATAATGTAGGGTACAAAGATGTGTGTACGCAGAAAAACTTTTAGGGATACTTCATTACAATGTGCACTGATGTTGCATGCATGTAAATTACATGTGGTCCTGCACCTGCACACAAACCATGTTGCTTTTAAGAAAAGATGCAGGGGTTCCATTAACATTTAATGACACACCCCCACGCTATAAAAAGTGCAATATTATTATTATTATACAGGATTTATGTAGTGCCAACAGTTTGCACAGCGCTTTACAAAATGAAGGTAGACATTACAGTTACAATACAATTTGGTACAAGAGGAAACAGAGGGCCCTGCTTGTTAGAGCTTACAATCTAGGAGGAAGGGTTGAGTGATACAAACGGTAATAGCTGTGGGGGGGATGAGCTGATGGAGGAAATAAATGGTGGTTTACTAGGTAGAAGCAGGGTAGACTTCTTGAACCACTTCCCATCCGGCACATGTATATAAACGGCCAGACAGGAGCAGTGCAGGGGAGAGGGTGGCTGTTTATAAATGGCCTCCCCGCCCCCTGCTTGTGCACGCTCCCTGGGAGCGCGCAGCAAAGCGATCTGGTGCCCGCTGTGTCCTCCGGACACAGTGGAACACCGATCGTTGTACGGGACCTCTGTGTGAGGTCCCAATCATGTAATCACTGATTGGCCAATCAGTGATCATATGAAGAGTAGTAAGCAATGATGTCACTTCTGTCATCATTGCTTACTATGTGTGAATGATCACAGAGGTCACATGGTACAAGGCTATTCACAACAGCCTTGTACCATGTGACAAGCTGTGACCAATTACAGCTCACACAGTATTTCTCAATGGCTGCAAGAATGCAGCCAGAGAGAAGGAGAAATGATTGCTTTTACAGCCTTTATGGGTGTAAAAGCAGTCAGTGTAAAAAAAAAAATCTTCATCACCCCCCACAAGTAGTACAGTGTCACTATGGTGACACTGTACTGCTAGGGTGACAGTATGTAAAAAAAAATAATAATAATTTAAAAAATAAAATAAAAATGTAAACAAAAATTTTTTTTAAATTTGGGTTATTTTTTTTTCTTACTAAAAAGATAACTGAATACATTTTGGCCAAGATTTATGAAGAAAGATTATTTATTTGCAAAATTTTATAAGAAAAAACACTTTTTTTCAAAATTTGTAGACTTTTTCATTTATATAGCAAAAAAAATTAAAATCCCAGTGGTGAATAAATACCACCAAAATAAAGTTTTATCTGTGTCAAAAAATGCTAAAAAAATTAATATGGGTACAGTGTTGCAATTGTCATTCAAAATGTGATAGCACTGAAAGCTGAAAATTGGCCTGGGCAGGAAGGGGGTAAAAGTGTCCGGACTTGAAATGCTTAACGAGAAAGGGTTTCAGGGATCGTCTAAAGGTGGATAGATTAGAACACAGCCAGACAGATTGGGGTAGAAAGTTCCATAGGATGGGAGGAGCTCGGGAGAAGTCCTGGAGGCGAGCATGGGAGGAGGTGACACAGGAACTAGAGAGCAGAAGGTCTTGGGAGGAACGAAGAGAGTAGTTTGGTTGATATTTTGAGACCAGGTTGGTGATGTAGCTGGGGGCAGAGTTGTGGATGGCTTTGTAAGTTGTTGTTAGTATTTTACATTTTATTCATTGGGTGAGTGGAAGCCAGTGGAGGGATTGGCAGGGAGGAGTAGCAGACACTGAATGGTTGGTAAGGTGGATGAGCCTGGCAGAAGTATTCATGATGGACTGGAGGGGGAATAGCCTATGTAAAGGTAAGCCAATGAGGAGGGAGTTGCAGTAAATATGGTTCCCCACACACAAACACATGGTGCCAAAGCACCATGTGGGTTCCATGTGGCTGCATTTTGCAAAAAGGTATGGGGATCTTTTGCTCGCAGGAAATACAGATACAGCACCCCATTTAAATGTATGGGCTGCTGTGCCTATGAAAATACAGGATGCAGAACTGCATAGTTATGAATCTAACTTTATTCTGTATTGTATATAATGCATCACTGCAGAGGATAACACATTGGTAGCAAAAATCTTCTGCGTGACATACTTACATGTTCATGTTTGTAAGCAGACAGACACCCATTCCCTCAGTAGTTAGTTTACTTGGTAAACTAGGAATAAGTTAACTATGAAAAATAAAAACCTTGCTTCATAAATTGTTTTGCATCAATACTAAAGCTAATACATTCAATTTTAAATGGCTATAATATTTTATGGTAAATGGCAATAACTATAAAATGAAGGTTAATTTACCCTTGACTGTTTTTAGTGCACACACAGCACTTTTATGTCTCCAAGTAAGTTTAATAATAAACTCATGGGAGTTGATTTACTAAAGGCTATTAGGCTGTTACTTTGCAAGAGAATTATCTTATAGCTTAGTGAGTGGAATGAAAATTAATTTGCAAATAACCCAATCATGTACAAATCCTATATTCTATGGTTCATAGTCCCTTGTCCTTTTCGGGAGTTAGCAAAAGAGGGTGGCTATGTTCCTACATACAGTGGGACCATGTAGATTGAAGGTAGCCACTCGAGGCTGAAAGTATTAAAGTGGAGTTCCACTCAAAAGTGGAAGCTCCACTTATTTGCCTCCTCCCCCCCTCCACTGCCATATTTGGCACCTTTTGGGGGGAGCGGATACCTGTTTTTGACAGGAGCCCACTCCCACTTCTGACTCAGTTCACAGCGGTGGAGTGAGCCAGAAGTTCGGTCCCCTCCTCCCTCCTGCAGTCTCCTGGGAACTATCATAGGTCCCAGAAGACTGCCGGTCCAATTAGGAAGCTCAGCATGACTCACGCATACGCAGTGGGCATAGCAGAGCCATACAAAGCAGCATGCTTACACAGTAAAGCACACACAGACAACATAGTAAAACAGCACACAGTTAACCCTTTGATTGCCCCAGATGTTAACCCCTTCCTGCCCAGTGTTATTAGTACAGTGTCAGTGCTTTTTATTAGCACTGATCACTGTATTGGTGTCACTGGGGATGTCAGTGGCAGTTAGTCAGTTCCCCCCAGTGTCAGAATACCCGCCACAGTCCCACTATAAGTCGCTGATTGCTGTCATTACTAGTATTAAAAAAAAAAAAAATTCCAATATATATACCACTATTTGCAGATGCTACAACTTTCATGTAAACCAATTAATTTACACGTATTGGAATTTTCTTTTTAGTAAAGACATGTAGCAGAATACATTTTGGCCTAAATTTGATTTTTAAAATGTTTTACTGGATATTTTATAGCAAGAAGTCAAAAATATTGTTTCTTTTTTTCCAAAAATTTCTTTTTTTGTTTATAGCGCAAAAAATTAAAAACTGCATGGGTGATCAAATACCACCAAAAGAAAGCTCCATTTGTGGGAAAAAAAGACATAAATTTCACAGGGGCGGACTGACAAATCATGGGGCCCCCCGGGCAGTAAGAGATAATGGGGCCCCCTGTTCCCCCCCCGCCTACACTCAAGCCACACCCACACAACACCCTACCTACATATTGCAGCTCAACTGCATAGAAGGGGCATTTAAATATTTACTGCAGCAAAGTCTGCATGAATGTTCACGACTTCTTTCCGTAGAAGCCACTGGGCACTTCCAGGTTTAAAGATGGCTGCCAGGTGGGGGAAGTGAAAGAGAGAGGGGAGTGAGAGGTTGAAAAAGAGGAGGGGTGTGAGAGAGAGAGAGGAGGAGGAGGAATGAGAGAGAAAGGAAGGGATGAGAGAGGAGGGGTGTGTTATAAATTGCGCTAAAAATTGGGCATGGCTTAAAAGAGGTGTGGTTAAATAGTGTCTGAGATGAGTTATATAGTGCAGAATAAGGTAAAGTTAAATAGGGAATGTACAGTGTGGAGTGTATGACAGTGGGTACTATGTACAGGGAGAGGAGTGTGGAGAGTATGGCTGTGGGTAGTATGTGTAGGATGGTGTCAGTAGTTCTTCATTTTTATTAGTATTATTTTATTTTTTACAATTTTATGATTTTTTTTTTACAAATTAATGTTTTATTATTTTTATAATTTATTTTCAAAATGCTTTTGGGTGGCCAGTGGATGGTGTTAGTAGAGCAATGGTGTGGGTGTCAGAATAATTACATTTTTTATAATCTAATTTTTAATTGTTTTTTACAATTTATTTCTGTATTAATTTTTTCACAATGATTTTGTGGGGGCAGTGGACAGTGTCAGTAGGGAGTGAACAGGGAGCACTAGTATATGTTGGGCTGTCATTAACCACCTTCCGCCCGCCATATAGTACAATGATGGGCACAAGGTGGTTCTCTCGTTCTGATAGGACGTCATATGACGTCCTTCCATTCTCAGCGCGCAGCGCGGCGATCGCCGGTGCGCTGTGTCCCTCGGACACAGCGGATCACGGAAAGAGCCGAAGATGTCGGCTCGGTCATGTGATCAGCTGTGTTCAATCACAGCTGATCACATGTAAATACGGAAATGCTGGTTATCGGCATTTTCTCTCCTCTCGAGCTGTCACGCTGACAGCTCGAGAGGAGAGCCAGTAATCGGCTTTCCGCGGAGGGGACATGTACACTGATCATCAGGGCACTGATGATCAGTGTGCCCTGATGATCAGTGTAGCGCCAGCAGTGCCAGCTGTCAGTGTCCATCAGTGCCAGCAGTCAGTGCTCATCAGTGCCACGTGCCAGTGCCCATCAGTGCCACATATTAGTGCATACCAGTGCATATCAATGCCACATATCAGTGCCCATCTGAGCTGCCTTTCAATGTCACCCATCAATGCCAATCAATGCCACCTATCAGTGCTGCCAATCAGTGCCACCTATCAGTGCCAGTCTGTCGCCTATCAGTGCGCATCAGTGCCGCCTACCAGTGCGCATCAGTGCCGCCTATCAGTGCCAGTCAGTGCTGCCTAACAGTGCCAGTCAGTGCTGCCTAACAGTGCCAGTCAGTGCTGCCCATCAGTGCCAGTCAGTGCTGCCTATCAGTGCCATATATCAGTGTCATGTATTAGTGCTGCCTTTTTTAGTGCACATCAGTGATGCCTGTCAATGCCCATCAGTGCACCTACCAGTGCCTCCTCATCAGTGCCCATCAGTGCCACATATCAGTGTCCATCAGTGCAGCCTATCAGTGCCCATCACTGCAGCCTCATTAGCGCACATCATTGAAGGAGAAAAATCACTTATTTACAAAATTGTATAACAAAAACTAAGAAAAAACTTTTTTTTTTTCAACATTTTCAGTGGTTTTTGGTTTGTTTAAAAAAAATAAAAATCCCAGAGGTGATTAAATACCACCAAAAGAAAGCTCTGTCTCAAAAAAATGATAAAAATTTAATATGGGTACAATGTTGCCTGACCGTGCAATTGTCATTCAAAATGTGACAGCGCTGATAGCTGGAAATTGGCCTGGGCAGGAAGGGGGTATAAGTGCCCTGTAGGCAAGTGGTTAAACAGAACCTCTACCCCCTTATATCGGAAGGAAGGGAATGGATGGAGGGAATGAAGGAAGAAAGAAAAGGGAGAGAGGAGGGAGGGAGGGAGGGAATGGATGGAGGAAGGAAGAGGAGGGAGGAAGGATGGGTGGGAGGAAAGAATGAAGGGAGGGGATGAAGGAAGGAAGAAAAGGGAGGGAGGGAATGGATGGAGGAAGGAAGGAATGAAGGAAAGAAATAAAATGGATGGAGGAAGGAATGAAGGAAAAGGAAGGAAGGGTAGGGAGGAAAGGCAGGAAGGGGAAGGGAGAGAGGGAGGAAGGAAGGAAGGAATAAAAAGGGAGAGAGGGAATGGATGAAAAAAAGAGGAGGGAAGGAAGGAGGGGTGGGAGGAAAGAATGAAGGGAGGGGGTTGAGGAAGGAAGGGAAAGATGAAAAGGGAGGGAGGGAATGGATAGAGGAAGGAATGAAGGAAAAGGAGGGAAGGGAGGAAGTTAGTGTGGGAGGGAGGGAAGGAAGAAAGGGGAGGAAGGAAAGAAGGAAGGAAGGAAGAAAAGGGAGGGAATAGATGGAGAGGGGGGGAAGAAGGAAGGAAGGAAGGAGGAGTCCGTAGGAAGGAAGGAAGGAAGGAAGGAAGGGAGGAAGGAAAAAGGGGAGAAGAGGAATGGATGGATGGAGGAAGGAGAGGGAAGGAAGAAAGGGTGGGAGGAAAGACTGAAGGGAGGGGATGGAGGAAGGAAGGGAAAGAAGAAAGAGAGGGAGGGAATGGATGGAGGAAGGAAGGAATGAGGAAGGAAATAAATGGATGCACAAAGTAATGAAGCTAAAGGAGGGGGAAGGAAGGAAGGGGAGGGAAGGAAGGAAGGGGAGGGAAGGAAGGAAGAGGGAAGGAAGGAAGAGAGGGAGGGAAGGAAGAGAGGGAGGGAGGGGGAAGGAAGGAAGGAAGGAAGGAAGGAAGGAAGGAAGGAAAGGAAGGAAGGAAGGAAGGGAATAAAAGGAGGGGAGGGGGGAAGGGAAAAGGGAGGAAGTTGATGGTGGAAGGAATGGAAGGGAGGAAGGGATGAATGAAGGGGAGGGAAAGAAGGAAGGGAGGGAGGGAGGAAGAAGGAAGAAAAGGGAATGGGATAGAGAAAGGAAGGAAGGAAGAGAAGGAAGGAAGAAAAGGGAGGGGGGGGAGGGAATGGATGGAGGAAGGAAGAAGGAAGGAAGGAAGGAAGGAAGGAGGAAGGAAGGGAAAGGGATGGAGGAAAGTAAATGAAGGGTAAAAAGGAGGGAAGGAAGGAAAGGGGAAGGGGAGGAAGGAAGGAAAGAAAGGGAATGGATAAAAGAAAGAAAGGAAGAGAAGGGAAGGAAGAAAAAGGGAGGGAGGGGAATGGATAGAGGAAGGAAGGAAGGAAGGAAGGAAGGAAGGAAGGAAATAAATGGGGATGCACAAAGTAAGGAAGCTAAAGGAGGAAGGAATGAAGGAGGGGAGGAATAGGGAAGGAAGGGAAGGAAGGAAGGAAGGAAAAAGGAAATGAATAAAAGGAGGGGATGGAGGGAAGGAAGAAAAGGAGGAAATGGATGGAGGAAGGAATGGAAGGGAGAAAGGGATGAATGAAGGGGGGAGGGAAAGAAGGAAGGGGGGGGAAAAAAGGAGAGGAGGGAGGAAGGAAGAAAAGGGAACGAAGGAAGGAAAGAAAGGAAGGGGAAGAGAAGGGAAGGAAGAAAAGGGAGGGAGGGAGGGATGGATGAGGAGGGAGGAAGGAAGGGGAGGTGAAGGAAAGAGGGATGGAGAAGGACAAAGTAATGAAGGTAGAGGGAGGGAAGGAGGAAGGGGGGAGGGGAGGAGGAGGAAGAAGAAAAGAAGAATGGATAAAGAGAAGAGGGGGGGAAAGAAAGAAAGGGAAGGAAGGGAGTAAGAAGGGGGGGGGGGGAAGGGGGAGGAGGGGAAGGAGGGGAGAAGAAGGGAAGGAAGGGGAAGGAAGGAAATGGATGCGAGGAAAAGTCGGGAGGATGAAGGGAAAGGAGGAAGAAGGAAAAGAGGGGGGGGGGGGGGGAGGAGGAAGGAAGGAAGGAAGGAGGGGGAAGAGGAAGGAAGGGGGGATGGGAATAAAAGGAGGGATTGGAAGGAAGGGGGAGAAAGGGGGAAATGGATGGAGGGGGGGGAGGAAAGGGGAATGAAGAGAAAGGGAAGGGGGGGAGGGGGGAGGGGGAGGGAAGAGAAGGGAGGAAGAGGGGGAGGAGGGAAGGAAAGGGAAGGAAGGGAAGAAGAAAGGGAGATGGGGAGAGAAGAAGGGAAGATGGGAAGGAAGGAGAATGGGGGAAGGGAGAGGGGGGAGGGGGAGGGGGGGAGGGGAGGAGGGAAGGAGGAAGGAAGGAAGGAGGAGGAGGGGAGAGGAGGAGAGAGGGGGGAGGAAAGGAAAGAGGAAGGAAAGAAGGAATGAAAAATGGGGGACAAAGTAATGAAGGTAAAGGGAGGAAAGGAAGGAAGGGGAGGGGAGGGGGGAGGAGGAGGAGGGAAGGAGAGGAAGGAAGGAAGGAAGAGAAGGGAAGGAAGAATGGATTAGAGAAAGAAAGGAAGGAAGAGAAGGGAAGGAAGAAAAGGGAGGGAGGGAATGGAGGATGGAGGAAGGAAGGAATGAGGAAGGAAAGAAATGGATGGGACAAAGTAATGAAGGTAAGAGGAAGGAAGGAAGGAGGAGGAAATGAAAGGGGGGGGGAGGAAGGATGAAGGTGAGGGGGGGATAGGAGGAAGGATGGAGAGAAGAAAGGAAGGATGGAAGGAAAGGAAGGAAAGAATGATGGAGGAGGGGAATGGGAGGAAGGAAGGGAAAATAGAAGGAGGGAAAGGATGGAGGAAGGAATGAAGGGGAGGGGAGGGGAAGGGGGGGAGAAGAGAAGGGAGTGAGTAAGGGAATGGGGAAGGGGAAGGAAAGAAGGGGGGAACGAAGATGAAAAGGAAGGGAGGGAGATGGGGAGATGGAGGGAAGGAAGGAAGAGAGAAATGGAAGGGTGGGAGGAAGGGAAATGAAAGGGGGGAGAGTTGAGTGAGGGAAGAAAGAAGGGAGGAGGGAGGGGGGGAAAGAAGGAAAAAAGGGGGGGGAGGGAAGAGAGAGGGGGGGGGAGAGAAGGGGAGGGAGGGAAGGAAGGAAGGGAAGGGGAAGAGAAGAGGGAAGAAGGAAGGGAGGAAGGAAGAGGAATGAAGGGAGGGGGGGAGGAAGAAGGGAAGAAAAAGGGGGGGGGAGGGAGGAGGAGAAGAAAGGGAGGAAGAGAATGAGAGGAAGGGAGGGGGGGGGGGGAGGAAGAGAGAAGAAAGAGAGGGAGGGAATGGATGGAGGAAAGGAAAGGAAGGAAGGAGGGGGGAGGGGAAGAGAAGAAGGAAGGAAGAAATGAAAGGAAGGAAAAGGGAGAAAGGGGAGGGGGAAAGAGATTGAGAGGAGAAATGGAAGAAGGAAGGAAGGGATGGGAGGGAATGGATGGAGGAAGGATGGAAGGGGGGGAAGGGGGAAGATGAAGGGAAGAGAGGAAGGAAGAGAGAGGAAGGAGGGAGAGGAAGGAAAAAGGAATGGAAGTTGAGAAGAAGGGAGAAAGGAGGAAGGAAGAGAAGGGAAGGAAGAAGAAGAGAAAGAAGGAAGGAAGAGAGAAGGGAAGGAAGGGAAGGGAAGGAGGGAGGGAGGGAAGGGATGGAGGAAGGATTGGAGGAAGGAAGGAAAGAAAATGGAAATGGAAAGTAAGAAGGAAGGGAGAAGGAAGGAAGGAAGGAAGGAGGAAGGATTGAAGAAGGAAGGAAAGGAATGGAGGAAGGAGGAAAGGGAGGAGGGAAGGAAGAAGGGAAGGAGAAGAAGAAGAAGAAGGGGAAGGAGGGGGGAGAAAAAAAGGAGAAGGGGGAGGAGGAAGGAGGAAGAAGGAAGAAGAAGGAGGGAGAAAGGGGAGGAAAGGAAGGAATGGAGATGAGGGAGGGAAGGGAGGAGGAGAAGAGAAGAAAGGAAGGGAGGAAGGAAAGGGAGAGGAAGGAGGAAGGAAAGAGGGAAGGAAGAGAGAAGAAGAAGGAGAGGGGGAGGGAAGGGGAAGGAGAATGAAGAAGAATGAAGGAAGGGAAGGAGGAGGGAAGGAAAAAAGGAGAGGAAAGAGAGGGAGGGAGGAGAAGAAGAAGAATGAAGGGAGAAGGAGAGGGAAGGGGGAAAGAGGAGAGGAGAGGGAATGGATGAGGGGGAAGAAGAAGGGGGAAGGAAGAAGAAGGGAAGGGATGAAAAAGAAGGAAGAGATAGGAGAGAAGAGAGGGGGAAGGAGAGAAGGAAGGAAGGAAAGAAGGGAAGGGAGAGAAGGAGAAGGGGGGGGGAGGGAATGGGGGAAGGAAGGAAGAAGAAGGAGGGAGGAGGGAGGGGAAGGAGAAAGGAGGGGGAAGGGAGGAGGAGAAGGAAGTGGGGGAGGGGGAAGGGGGAG